GAAGGACAAAGCTAGGATCAATACAGTTATTCCTCAGGATAAAGTTTCTCCTCTGAGAGTGCTGGTAGGAAATGGGTTTGGCTGAGAACCTGCCCGCACTCGATGTTTTTCTGTACATTCACCTATACATAAATAGAAGATTTTGCCAAATCCTCACACAGAAAGACAGAGAACACAGACCTGATGGCATCTCTCAGTGTGACAGCTGCCAGCCCCAGGGGTGGCCTTCAGAGACACGGGGTCCTCCGGAGGTAGCACTGGGTACATCTGGTCAGACAGGAGAGCGCTGCCTGAGAGCCTGAGGCATTTCTCATGTGTTGAAAGGATGAGCATGGCCTCATCAGCTGAAACACTTGAACACTTTGCATCAACTCTCCGTGTTTTCCCATGATCCAAATGAGAGGTTTCCATGATGTGTGTTTAAAAACACAGCTGGTGAGGATGGAGAGATGCAGTAACAGGTACAGACATACTGGGGTGAGAAGATGGTGGGGAAGCACACTGGGTGTCTGCAGCCTGCAAAGAAACAGGCACAGGCATAGGACAGTGCAGGATGGGCTGTGGTGCACATGGCCAAAGGCACTGGCAAGGCTGAATGTCCCTGACAGAATCCAGGTCTTTGTCCCGTTGGCTATAATGTCCCTGCCACTAAGGCTTATGAGAAGGCACATCATCATCATCATCATCATCATCATCATGGCCATAGGGCAACAGTGCCTCCTTGCACCTCCCTGGGGAGGCCAGAAGGTGTCATCCCATCGTCCTTCACTTGGCATCACACTCCCCGCATTCCCAGGAAGAGCCTGAGCCAGGGGCTGGGGTCAGGGCTTTCCCGTCTTCCTTCATCACATAAACCAGGGGTGTTCTCAGCATCAGAGGTGCTGCACTTTGCCTACCCGTGATGATGGCCTCCAGTGCTCTGCTCTAACGAGTCCCTGGGGAGGCTCCGTCAGGAGCCCAGTGATGCTTCAAGGGACTTGGGAATTGCTCCCGAGTTTGACTTCTTGAGAGGGCTCTTCAGTCTCCTGCCAGTAGCTGAGGTTCATGGGCTCAGCACCAGCAAGGGGCTCATTCAAACACAGAAAGCCCCGAGGGGCCATGTCTCTGCTGGAATTTTTCTTCAGCTTCTCATGACTTGCACAACTCATTGCAGAGGTTTCCACTGGACACTGAGTGATGGAGATTGCAGAGGTTTCCTGAAGGAGGGTGTTTATTTCCTCACTTTGTTGAAGCTGAACCTCATCGGTGGCAGCTTCTACTTGGTGTACAGTTTAGGAGTGTGTTTCCACCCCAACCAGTTTCGGCTACCTTAGAGAGACCCTGGCTCCATATCAGTCGGAGAAGGCTGCTTTCACCTCTGCTACTGAAAAGTAATCAACTGCACACTTGAAAATGAAAAGTGATTTCTATGAGCAGCTCTTTGAAGTCATTCTTCCTAACTACACCAGGAAACCTCTCTAATAAGCTCTACAAGACTAGAAGGAAATTATGGGCAGAGACATTGTTTGTTAGTGCTTGATTCATTTTAACAAGCCCCACAGTGCTTTTGGTGCTGAGTCCTTGAACCTCAGGTGCTGAGAGGTGATTACACACACCTTGCCATAAGGCAAAGTCAGAAGAAAAACCGCAAGTAGCTTGAAGCATTAATGAGTCCCATTGAAGGCCATCACCAACACAGATTCCCTAGGGACTCACTGGAGGAGATAACTGAAGGCCATGATTGCAGGTAGGCAAAGGGAATGTGCAGGGAGATCAGATGCTGAGAAAGCCCTGGGTTTGCTTGATGCAGCAGAAAGGCCAAGCTCTGACCCCCAGGAAAGATGAAGTTGTGAATGCTCCATCCCTGGCAGTGTTCAAGGCCAGGTTGGACAGAGCCTTGGGTGACATGGTCTAGTGTGAGGTGTCCCTGCCCATGGCAGGGGGGTTGAAACTGGATGTCCCTTCCAACCCTAACTGTTCTATGATTCTATGGGAGAGATCTCCTGAACCGACCAAAGGGATTTTCCATACCATAATACATCATGTTCAGCAATAAACTGAGAGAAAGGAGGGGGCTTTGCTAGGTGGTGACATTCATTACTAAGACATTTGTCTTCCACAGCAACCCTGACACGTACCGAGCCTTTGACTCCCAGGAGGTGGGTGGACATTGTCTGTTGATGGGAAGTAGAGAACAAATCTCCGTTGGTTTTGTATTAACTGCCTTTACCCTGAACCACAGTTTTTATTCCCTTGTCCTGATGAGGAGAGGGAGTGAGAGAGAAGCTTGGTGGGCTCCTGATGGACAGCAAAATTTAACCCGCCACAGTCATCTGTCTGGTCCATCTCTCCTGCTACAGGCTGTGTTAAATTGATCTCGTTCAAGGACTCCCTGCGAATTGACATCTTCCACGAAGGAGCTAGAAGTTCATTTTGCCCCATCGTACACAGAGGTAATGGAAACACTGCACAGTGGTGGTCAAGGGCTGCTCAGTGATGGAGGCCACCACTAAGTGGCTGCCAGGAGGACTTTGGACCATGGATGCTATCTGACCCTCATTGTTCAGCCAACTTGCTACTCACCACATCACCCACTTCTTCAGTCCAGCTGTCAGCAGCCTGGCTATGAGGAGTCTACTATGAGCATGTCAGAGGCCTTGCTAAAGCCTGGGTACAAGACATCCCCTTCTTTTCCCTCCCACATGTGTTCTGCAACCCCTCTCTTGTCCTTCAAACGCCTGGGGATGGCTGTGGGATGACGTGCCATATCACCTTCCTAGGTGACCCAGGCTACTCTGTAACTCTGCCAATCCTCACTCCTGCCCTTTTGGAAGACTGGTTTCAAGTCTCCCTTTTCCAAGACCTCAGGAACCTCTCTGACAGCTTTAGTCTTTCCAAGGTGTTTGCGGGAGGTCTCACAACGACGCTGGCCAGCCTTCTCCCTCTCTCTGACACCAAACACGTTCTCAATATCCCAAACCTCCAGAGGAGTGCCCGGGACACAACACACGCCTGTCCAGGTCCTCAGGGCTGGTTCGGAAGGGAACCAGAACTGATTTCTTCTTAAAAGCCCACCACCATGGGCTGTCTGTGCGGTTCACAGGTTTCCTGAGTGTTTTGTCAATGCCCATCCTTTGTGCTCCGCAGGCTGTAGCTGAGAGAACTGAAGCAGGGGTGAGGATGGTGTCAAAAAAGGGCAGTTTGAACTGTTTTCAGAGGGCTCTTTTGCCATCACACTGACAATGGTGAAGGTACTGGAGAAAGCAGTGGAACAAGTGCCATCCCTGGCAGTGTTCAAGGCCAGCCTGAACGGAGTCTTGGGTGACATGGTTTAGTGTGAGGTGTCCCTGCCTATGGCAGGGGGTTGGAACTGGCTGATTTTTAGGTCCTTTCCAACCCTAACTATTCCATTCCATCATATTCCATCCTATTCTATTCTATTCCATTCCAGCACTGGGACAAAACCACAGAAGAAGTGGTCTGGTACGCTGGGGCTACAAAATGCGTGTGGGACAAGAACGAAATCCTTGCTGGAGATGGCTGAAATCCCCCTAGCCAAGGTGCTGCTGTCTTCTGGAGACAACCCTTCCATCCATGACTCTTGCAGAGAGCACGCGTGGCCCTCAGCCCAGTACTGATCCTAGGATATGGCCACCAGCACGGTTCTGTGCATGCAAAAGGTGCAGGAAATAGCAGTGACACTGCTGTGAGCAGGGACTGTGCTGTCCCCAGACAAGGAACAGTCATGGTGGTAGAGCTGTAGCAAGTTTGGTGGAGCTACAGCAAGTTTTCATGTTTCCCAGCAGCAGCAGCCCCAGGATGAGGCCAAACCTACCTACAATCACGTGTCATAACAGACAGGAGGAAGAGATTTCCTCTTTCCATTGAACATTTTAGGTCTCCACATCCCCTCTCTCTTGGTAGGACACCAGTGAGTGAGAGCATTTCTTTCTCTGTTAGGAGCTTAAAGGAATTGTGAATACGTGGAGATGTTTGTGCCTCTCACTGCTTCATGCTCCCAAACTGTGCTCTGTGAAAAGTGAGAAATGCCATGTTCTAAAGGGCAGTGCCTCTTGTGCTTGCAGAACTGCTTCAGACTGCACACATCATACGCTTGTACAGATGTGGCTCTTCTATAGCACTCAATGAAAGGGACAGGCCCATCAGAGGAACTGCAGCTGCACCCAAGAGGTTTACATACTTAAAAATGTAGGATTCAGTTTGGGAAAAAAACTGAAAAATCAGACTAAAACATCAAATTACGTGCAAACTGTGACGTGAAAGGGAAATTTGGTATTATTTATCATATTTAAATTGCTGCCTTTAGCCTGTTTATTGGTTAAAATATCAAGGGATATTTATCTTCTAAACGTGGGTGAAAAAGCAGGTGGAATGCAAAATAATGTTTTTTTTTTCCAGATTTCCTTAAGCTTTTCAGAGTATAAGGCACCTAAATGGTGTAGGAGAAGAGAGTAAGCTTCCAGAAATTGCAGCTCAGCTTTTTATGCCATTAAACATTGCAACCATTCTAGCTGGGAAAATAGCACTTGGAATAATATTTGGTGTAATCTGTGATATTATCTACTTCAATCTTCAAGAAATCCAGTCAAGAAGTGTGAGCTCTCCTTGTTTATCTTCCTAAGTGTAACCCTGCAAAGCAAAATGTATGAAAGGCTAATGAAGGATCAGGCCAGTAAAGGCTTTAAAAAACCAAAGGTAATGTACTTTCAATAAGAATCATAGAATAGTTAGGATTGGAAAGGGCCTTAAGATCATCTAGTTCCAACCCCCTGCCATGGGCAGGGACAAGGAAGACTAATCATGTTTAAAAACCATGTTCTCTCACTGATTTAGTTTTCTCTCGCCATCCTGAAGCAATTGCAGAAGCATCTCAAGACCCCAGAACTCAGTCATTAAGGGTTCTAAGCAGCAGATTGGTTGGGAATCTCGCTGAGTTGTCTGCCCAGCTCTAAGTGTGAATTTTCCCACTTCATTTCTGTTTTTCTCTTCCTTTCTGCACAATAACAGTTTCTGCGATGTGTTTCATGGGTTTCAAGAGGTTTCCTCTGGACACTAGGAACTGCTCCTTAGAACTGGAAAGCTGTCAGTTTAATTCATACCTATTCTTCACACGTGCATTCTTATCAGCACTCTATCTTGTTAATAATACCTTTTTCACTTATGTTGACATGTGACCTGAACCCTTCAACCTGTACAGGTTAAACTGTGACCAGTTTGGGATCTTTCCAGAACTTAGTGAGCTTTGGGAAGATACAAAAAACCAGGATGCACCCTGTTTTGTTCTGACTGGGTTGATACCCCAAGGCCTGAATCTAGAAATGTTTCCTCTGTCAAAAATCATGTTTTATTTTTTTTCTTTTCTGAGAAAAAAAGTGCAAGTTAAAAGTAAAATGTCAATATTTAACCTCAGGGCAAAATGCTTGCATTACTCTGAAATACTTGCTTTCTCATGCTCAGTTGTCTAGTAAGTTGTAGAGCTGGGCAACTAAGGGTAATTCTGGTTTGCTAAGCCTTTTGCTATCTCAAAATCTATTTCTATTTGGATTATGAGTAAAACTGAGATCCTGGTTTGTTGTTTGGCCTTGGAAAAGAGAACAGATCCCCAGCGTTCAGGCAGTCTGCTCGGTGTCGCAGCTCCAGAGCTCTGATCTTAAGTACCCTGTGACCCATGTGTCAGGTAAACTGCTGGTAGGGCACAGGGCTGGGGTCCTCTTGGAACATGATGGAATGTGGTCTTTGAAACTTTTTCATGTCAGCTAAGTGGCAAATTGATGTGAAAATGTGTTTCTTTGGGGTTTTCCCAAATCGTTTGAGTGGTTTCCTATCCCTAAGAAAAGGAAACAGAAGCATTATACCAGAAGAGGTGATTTAGTTTTCCCTTCCTTATAGATGCAGACAATGAAAATGATTTGATGCTACACTGGAAACATGGAAACAAGTCTCTGAGCACAGATGAGCACATCTCCCTCTCCCAGTTTTCATTAAAGAATTCAGTGTTTCCAGTGGACTAGGTTTTTACAGCAGTACTGGTGTAGTGAGCCCCTGTCATTAGAAGAGAGAAGCACAGGACACAGTCATGCAGAATGACTTTTCAAGTTCAAATTCATTGCTAAGAAATGACTGTTACTGCTTTGAGATCTCAGCTAAAACGAGGTCTGTCAATCACACTGGCCTGTTGGCCCAGGTCCTTGGTTGTCCTTACATTACCAGTGTAATGCTTTCTGGATATTAGAAGAAGAGTCCATAATACTTGTCACTTAACATCTGACAATAAGAACTGGAAAAAATGCACAACCAAATACATTGGTGTGAGCTCTTGCAAACTTGTGGTGCTTCTCTTAAAGCCCTTGGAGTACTGGTTTTACAGGTATCTTTGGGAACTAGTTCTATAGAAAAGCTTGAAAAAGCAAACCCTAAGGGGTCAAATACTAGAGAGAAAACATGAGGAACCCCAGTGTGTTTTATTGTCTAAAATCTCCTTTTCGAAGCTGTAATATGGCGCTAAAAGTCTATTAACTAGAAGGTTTCCACATGGCAGCATTAATAACCTATTGAGGTCAAATTCATGGTTTTCTTAATGTTTCATGTTTACACATAAAGTTGCAGGGAAAAAATCCCTTTATGTCAGTGCTACATTGCTTAACTGTAGGTATCTGCCCCAGACAGGTTTTTATTTCTCCCCATAGAACTTGGAACTATACTTTCTGGCAAACTGCACAAGGCTTTAGGAGTTTATTATAGCCTTGATTTCATGCAAGCTGGGTTTTATTTGCTTTGTATTTGTACATGCAATTCTAAAGTCTTAAATACTTCTCTATATAAGTAGCCTAACCATATGTTTTTAACCAGATCATATAGCATGTTTGTTGCTGTAGTGACCAGTCTGAGGCAATTCATTTCAGTGTGGGTATCATTCAGTGTGAATATCTCATCTTGATATAGCACCTTAATATATCTGCCTTGATATCAAGGCAGATTAAGTAAATAGAAATTATTCCACATAATATGATGAAATGCCTACCACTTTGGGAAAAACCTTGAAGACATACAGGAAGGCTGCAAATAGATTTCTTTACTGTACTTTATTCATAGGACAGCTTCTTTTTGCATTTAAAAGAGATCCATTCAGGTCTGCCATGGCTCATACTGAATGCAGTAATATCAGTTTAAATTATGATGCAGCCGAAGCAGACATTCACAGCATGATCAGGTCCTCCATCCTTATCTCTTGCTCGTGTATAAGCTCCGAACACAGCTCCAGAGCCATTGTGAGCAGAGGGCGAGTGATACCTTACTATCATAACTGTGCCTTGCTGAGAGCTAAGTCAAATTTGTCCTTGTTGCAAGAAGGAGACTGGGATGTTTTCCACCAAACTGCTACCACTGAGTGTTGGAACTGGGTCCTAGGAACTCAGCTGGCTTCTTTCTGCCTTGCTATTGTCTTAGGCAAGCAAATATGGCCTTGTGCACAGCAGCGCAACGCCACACCACCCCGGTACCCAGCCCTGTGCAGCACCTGCACAGCACCTGCACAGCACCTTTGACTTTTTGCAGTGTAACTGCTTAACACTTACATGTAAATGTTTTGACAATGAGCTTATTCAGCAGGGTAAAGGTGGAAAGAAAGACCTTTTTTTAAGTCACCTAAACAATGCGTGTACCATATTTGTTCCTTAGAAAGAACACTGCCCTTTGTAAGCACATACTTTTCTTTGGCTTTGAGGTTTTCATTCTCACAGGAGCCTCCAGTTTCTCTTGTTTTTTTATTTTGCTTCTTGTTGGATGAAAATGATTACACACAAACGCTGCCCCTGAAAGTAAGGAGTAGTGGGGAACAATCAGCATAACTGGAGGAAGGCGGGAGGGAGTGAGAGAGCGGCTGCGTGGTTCTGAGTTACATCTGGGCTTAAACCACGACAGCGTGTTTAATACTAGATGGGGGGGTTTGTTGATAGATTATGTCCTATAAAGCCCCTCTTTGTGATGGCACGACTGCTCCAACACAGGCTCGTCAATGTGTCTCTTTGTACTGGTCAGCAGACGCCGCGCAGCCAGGCATGTCTGTCTTCTCTTCACGACCCTGGTTTCCCTTCCGTTGCAGGAGGTACAGCACCCTTTCCGCTAAAGTCAATGCTCAGCAGGCAGACCGACCGGAGGGTAGGAGAAGCACTGCTTACCGCAGGGTATTTGCAACATGACATAAGGCAGGCTGCTTCTTGGGGGAGTGGGCTGTTGGCTTTTCTGTCCCCTAGCGGGACTGGACAGTTACATTCTGTCTGTATTCTCCCGGCAGTTTCACCTGAAGTCTGTTTAGTTCCTTTTTCAATTTCCTAACCTCAGCTATAATACCGTATTTTATTTCTGCACTCACGATGCTTTGCTCCCAAGGCAGCAGTATTTTAATGGTGGATGAAGGACAGATAATAAAGCACTATATAAAACCAAGGTGGCGGCAATATTTCTTAGGTATTTACTATTAATGATGAGAATACACCATTCAAGCTGAAAGGAGAAGGCCAGTGAATAGAGCTCACAAATAAAACAGCTCTCTTCTCCCCCCAGAACAGGTTTTCAATAGGTTGGTACAATCAACTTTTTATAAACTTTTTTGTGCTACAATCCTATTTCCCTGCCATACTGATGATGATGAAGACAGGCTGAGAAAGTTGGGGCTGTTCAGCCTGGAGGAGAGAAGGCTGAGTGGAGACCTCATAGCAGCCTTCCAGTGTCTGAAGGGGGCCTATAGGGATGCTGAGGAGGGACTCTTCATTAGGGACTGTAGTGACAGGACAAGGGGTAACGGGTTAAAACTGAAACAGGGGAAGTTTAGACTGGATATAAGGAAGAAGTTCTTTCCTGTGAGGGTGGTGAGGCACTGGAATGGGTTGCCCAGGGAAGCTGTGAATGCTCCATCCCTGGCAGTGTTCAAGGCCAGGCTGGCCAGAGCCCTGGGTGATATGTTTTAGTGTGAGGTGTCCCTGCCCATGGCAGGGAGGTTGGAACTGAATGATCTTAAGGTCCTTTCCAACCCTAACTATATGATTCTATGATGTCTTGGGTTTCATTTTGGATTGACAGAAGAGACATTGCTGTGAGGGTATCACTTGGTAAACCTTTAACATAGGTTTACCTTTAACAAACCTTTAACAAACCTGAAACCTTTAACTTCTGGGAAGTACAGAATGGACAAGGGAGGGGTTTTGAAGTTACCTTAGCTTCTTATTTACACTTATTTAGCTTCTTATTTGTTAGTTGAAAAACAAATTATGGTACCTCCTACCTCCTTTTATTAATGCATCCAGCAACTCCTTTTGTTTATAAGGAATTTTAACTTCATCTTTAAAAAGCCAGTTTTAATTCTCAGTAGGTCATTTGTAATGCTGTCAAGATGCTTTTGCTAATCATGTTCTTTAATTTATATACGGATTTCTGCAGACGGTTATGCATCAGGAGTTCTACGAATAATGCACATTTCATTAGCATAAGCATACATAATTTATAGGCAATGTTAACAGCACAGTTTAAAAAGCTTAGCTCCCTAGCCTAGAGTATACATATTTCAAGTAAATTGATTTCCTCTTATGCGGTATACTTCGAACACCATCCTTCAACCTAAGCAACGTGCAGAGAGAGAGAGGGAAAACTCCTGTGTGTTACAATGGACTTGAACCAGCATAAAACTGGAGAAGGTCTACAGTGAGACCCAGCTGAAAGGCCAATGCTATCAGCCAGTGCTGTTTCACTGAGATGTCCTCACTTCCAGTGTTAATATTCATCTCTTTAAAAGCAGGGCCTCATTTGGTTGTTGGTCTTGGATATTTTTCTGAGACAGAGCAAAACAAAATGAGACTAATTCCTGCATGTAAGAAGAGATTGAAGGGATGAGGGTGGAATTCTAGACATGCTGAAGTAAACAAAACCTGTTTCTTAGTTTCAACAGATACAGCATTCTTATGCTAGTGCTTTTAGAGAGACATGGATTATGACAAAGACAGACAAGCTGATACATGCTGTCAAGAAGTACAATTTGAGAAGGGTTGGGAGGGAAATGAGTGATTCTTTAGTGCTCTGGGACAAGAAGGTGTGCTGTGGAGCCCCTGGCTCTGGGACGTGAGGGAAGCCCACAAGCCTGCTTTCACATCTCTACAGCAGTACTTGAAGCTGTCACAGAAATGTGGTCCTTATGCTGCTGAATCACCAGTCTTGTGTTCCCACTGTTCAAACGTGGTGTGCTGCAGCTCTAACTGCATACACTGAGCAGAGAGATGATTTACTTGTTTCAGTCTTGTATGTGATACGTCCTTCATGGTTCACTCCGCTTTTCAGAGCCTGTGCAGTGAAGTTAAAGGCAGTGTCAATGATATGCCCCCAAAGAGCTGCGCTGCCCAAGCAAAGCTGAGCTGAACAGAACCAAGTGGCCAATATTATGATAAGCTCCCCTTTTTCCTTTGGCAGGTATAACTACAGTGCTGACAATGTCAACCATCATTGACAGGAGTAAGCGCCTCAATGCCACAAGTGTCTTACATAAACCTTTTTGTCTTCTTGTCTGTCATCGAATATGTACCAGAGAACTATCTCATACAACTGAAGAGAGAAAGCAACTGAAAAATGGGGCAAGGTACAATCCTCTCTGTGTTTAGTTGCCTTCAGAAAGCACCACAGAAGCCACAGAGTAATCCTGATAGATCGCTGTGAGAGCACTGCAGTAGCCACATCTGTGACTCCATTCTGTATCTTCCCTTATTTTACTTGGCTGAAGGGAGGAAATCTATCATCCTCTCTGAGATGCTGAGAAAGCTGTGCTTTCTCTCCCTTCCTTTTCTTGTGGCAGAGGTTAGGGAGTTCACCTCCTGATTCCCCTCTCCCCAGAGGAAGGTGATCTTCATTCTCTTCTCAAATACCTATTGATCAAAGTGGTTTTCTTCTCTCTGAAATACACCACAGAATGCAGTCATGGGATTTTCCTTCCCATTTCCTGTGAAGCAGAGTGCATTTTTCCTTCTGCTTTTCCATTTTCAATGGAAATGACGATGAGTTTAATGACGCCTTTTTGTCCCAAGACCAGAAGAATGACAAGGTCATTCTTAGCAAAGTGTGCCTGAAGCGGAACTGTGCACAAGTTAAACATTCACTTTCTATGAAGCACTCACTTAAAACCTTTGATTCGAGAATATCCCCTCAAGGAAACTCCTTTGTTGAAATATCAGAGTTAAAACCACAAAGTTTTTGTTGTCTGTGGGGCAGACTCTACAGACAGCAATACTGTGAGGGAGCCCTGTTCTCCATATGCTCTCCACAGAAGGAACAACACTGAAGAGAAAGCTTGCTTTGTTTTCTGGTTTATTTATTTCTGATTTACTAACATTCTCCTGCTAGATACAGAATAACTATTCTTTGTTGCCAGGCTTCAGGAATGTATAGTATTGATGCAGTGCAAGCAATGGCTTTCGATGGCTTCTTTCACGACACGGATGTGGGCATGGACCTGACTGCTTTCCCAGACCTCTGTGAAGAGAATGAGACATGGGCACATGCAGACAGCGTCTCCAATGTGAAAACAACTCACATAAAGAGGAAGAGATCTGTGAAGGGAAGTGTGAGCAGGATTATATTACAGGACAATCATGTTATTGATACATATTCCAGGATTATATTCCTCAGTGTGTATACTGTGTTCAACTTTTTTTACTAGGGCTTGTCCGTATGAACAAAGCCGATTATAAGCTAGACAGTAATTTGTGTATGAGGGTAATATTGTGCTTTAAAAACAGTGCAACAGCAGTAGAGGGAAGGGTTAAAAGCTTCCAAAACTGACTTCTGCATCGTACCAAGGCTGGTTCAGTTAGCAGCAAAGCTGTTAATGAAGAACTCCCAGGAGTCTGGTTTCTTCCTCCACTGGGCTGTTGCAGTGCTCCATTGGAGCAATCCAATGCACAAGCTACTACTGCAGTAACGTAGAAGCAGTTTGCTCACTAAGGGAACCCTTTGTCATACACCTGAACAGACAGCATCTCGCACTTGAGGTATTATCCAGGCAGAGATTGTAGGAAACCTGTTCAAGAAAACAAACCAACCACATCCTCAGCAGAACCTGGTTCTTCTGATTTATGTTGCATATGTGAGCTTGGGGTTCTACCCCATTCCCCCTCCCCTTGGCTTTTGAGATTGGATGTTACAGTAAGGAGGAGCTACATACACCTGCTTGCAGCAGTGATCCCCAGCACTGTTCAAGATACCACACTGAGACACATGGGAAATAAAAGGAAGCAGCTGTGTGCCCTCTACAGGAATCCTGTTGGTCCCAGATGAATCCTGCATGCAAATATCCTTAGGTTCAAGCTAAGGAGGTTGAGTTAGGAATGTTCAGGAACACACACAAAAAGTGTTCATGGCTCCAGAAAAGAATCAAGATTATTTTTGTGACTTTCCCAAATTAGGAGGATTTTCCACTGTCGTGGTTTAAACTCAGCCAGACAGCTCGTTCACTCACTCCCCCCCTTTCCTCCCTCTTTCTTTCCCTCTCCCCCTCCCCGCTCCCAGTGGGATGGGGAGGAGAATCTAAAGAATGTAACTCCCACGGGTTGAGATAAGAACAGTCCAGTAACTGAGGTATAACACAAATCACTACTGCTACCACCAATGATAATAATGATAAGAGAAAATAACAAGGGAAGAGAATACGATACTGCCCGCTGAAATGAGTCCAACCCAGAAGACCCCGTGTCCTTCTGGGTAACTCCCAGTTACCCCCCCGGGCATGACGTGCTGTGGTATGGAATACCTCTTTGGTCAGTTTGGGTCAGGTGTCCTGTCTCTGCTTCCTCCCGGCTTCCCCTCCTCCCTGGCAGAGCATGAGCCTCACAAAGTCCTTGGTCAGGGTAAACATTACGTAGCAACAACTAAAAACATCGGTGTTATCAGCACTGTTCCCAGGCCAAAAGTCAAAACACAACGCTGCACCAGCTACCAAGAAGGAGAAAAATTGACTGCTACTGCTAAACCCAGGACATCCGCTTACATTCCTTGGGTTTATCTGTCATTTAATGGAGTGAGTTTATATTTACCAAGTCAGGTCAAAATGGTAATTCGTGGTAGCAAAAATGTCACAAGGTCAATGCTTGGTCATTGCTTGGTCAAGATTAGGAAATGGGAATAAATTTGGAAGCCTGAACCATGCTCTGGTTTATTTGTTTTTCCTGCTCCAGTATTGCTTTGCTCATCACATGGTGATGTCTCTTACTGCTTCCAAAATCTGCATTTACCAAGCTGGAGTGACAGAGCTGGAGAAGCTGGTGACACACTGCATGCCAGGTGACTGAAATCTGATGGAGTGGGGACTTTGGCAGCCACTGCACTGCCAAACAAACGGCCAGAGCTAAAACAGCTTTGATACTCTTCCAGGAAATAACGTCACGGAAAGCAGAACCGTATCAGGCATGGCAATGCTGGGAACGTAAAGCCAAAGGACATACAGGCTTTGGCAATAGCACACTTAGACCTCAACCTGAGAAAATGTATAATATAGATGTATTAAAACATTACCATGACATCCTTGTTACTGCACTGCCATTATGGAGGCATCCTGCACAGATGTTCCATATTGCCTGAGAAGATCCCATCTAATTGCTCGAGATGTGTAATGTGTCCTAAACTTTTCTCATCAACTATCACAACAATGTTTTCCATAGCTTTTATTATCTGCCTTACAGGCAGAGGTATTTGTTGTGTAGTCACCAGTGGATCCTCAGCCTCCAAAAGACAAAACTCCCCTTGTGTTTCTTGACCCAAATCAATTCCCTCTTCCAAATTTCTTACAGGATCTGCAGCAACAGAAGCCCTGCAGGCAGCACCTAAGCTCCATGTAGGCTGTCCAGCAAACAGGCCCACACAGGGAACTGTGCAGGAGAAGAGATTCCTGCCTGCATTTACCTTTCAGGCATATCCTATAGAGGTGCCTGAAAGCTGCACAGATTGCTTTGGTAGAGGAAACTGTCAGTTATTTTCAACTGTGAATGTAACCATTGGCAAAACAGATAGTATATAGCAAGTTATAAGATTGCACATCATGGTGATGAAACTTAACTGCATGCTTTTACAGCGAGGCTTATAATTTTTGTCTTCTTAATGCAGTGACAGGGATGATATCAAGATCAGTTATACTTCAAAAAATCTATTGCTTGTATAAATAGTGAAAAATAGCAAACGGTATTTAAATACATTATTTCTTGTTTAGAGGGTGCAGGAGAGCTGACAAAAAATCATATGACCCTTGTCTGAGCCTTGTACTATCTTCTAGAAAAAGATGGTAATAAATACTTCTAGTCAACTTGTCTACACAAGCCAGCACGGAAGTGTGTTTTCCATTCCTATTACTTGTGGCTGGTTTTGCAGCCACTCAAAAGTACAGAGTTTACATCGCAGAGCATTTACTAACAGCTAAACCATCATGGACATTACATAAATACATACTTGTTTGACTATTCATCCTAGTGGTATTCAAGCAGTTATGCTTATAATACTTTGTGGATTTTTGGAACAGAAATAAGAGCTTGTAATGGTTTCTGTGACCAACTGAGGTGCAGGAAGTGGTCTCCCTATTTTTAGCATCTGCTGCTACACCCATCTGTAGTAAGAAAACATCCTGTAAGTCTTGATGTAGGTGAGGCAAACTTCTAAGTCTGGAGGACTACTTTATTCTTCAAAGCTTTAAGTAGTAAAGTAATAAAGTAAAGGAAGAAGTAAGCAGAATTTCATGCCAGCAACCTATTTTTTCAGAGAGCTACACAAAGGTATACCTTTGAATATCCCAACTGTTGCAGAGTCTTTACATAAAATAGTCACAATTTAATACATTTTGCAGTCTCTTAAATGTTGAATAACATTGTGTTGAACTAAGCCAGAATTATAAAGTAGGGAATGTCTTCTTTTTCTTTGGAAGTCACAGCTCAATGAAAGAAAAATATTTTATCTAGAAAGCTTACGAATTTGTGCACATTTGTGCAATTAGGATGACTTTAGGGACACCGCTGGCAAAACCTCTCCCCTGGTAACCCACCCACATGCTGATTAACCTGTACTTCAGCTGGTGACCACAGTGGTCCAGGTGGTAGACAAACAAGGACTGAACAGGATGCGCAGTGTTTCCTTTCTCATTTCTTCCATCCCCTTTTCCCGTTCACTGCATTCTGCCGGTCTCTGTATTCAGCACGTGGGAGCTTGCTTCCTGCACCCACGAACGCGGAACTCGCTGGAATCACGTTTCGTTTGTTCCGAAAGTTCCACCTAGTGCCAGGAAACAGGAGTGACTGCTGTGCGAGTAACAGCTACACCGCAAGGAGGAGCCCATTTCCCATAAAGGGAGGAATTTGAACGGGTATTTTAAATGTGAAAGGCTCCATTATCTTATATATTTATGTATTTATATATATTATGAGTCTATTAAAAAGGACATGGAACTGTTGGAACAAGTCCAGAGGAGGCCACGAGGATGATCAGGGGACTGGAGCACCTCCTGTATGAAGACAGGCTGAGAAAGTTGGGGCTGTTCAGCCTGGAGAAGAGAAGGCTGCGTGGAGACCACATAGCAGCTTCCAGTATCTGAAGGAGGCCTACAAGGATGCTGGGGAGGGACTCTTCATTAGGGGCTGTAGTGACAGGACAAGGGGTAATGGGTTAAAACTTAAACAGGGGAAGTTTGGATTGGATATAAGGAGGAAGTTCTTTACTGTAAGGGTGGTGAGGCACTGGAATGGGTTGCCCAGGGGAGTTGTGAATGCTCCATCCCTGGCAGTGTTCAAGGCCAGGTTGGACAGAGCCTTGAGTGACATGGTTTAGAGTGAGGTGTCCCTGCCCATGGCAGGGGGGTTGGAACTGGATGATCTTAAGGTCCGTTCCAAGCCTAACTGTTCTGTGATTATTTCCTTCCATAAGAAGCTGACAGAGCACAGTCCCCTCTTTTACCTGTCATTGGAAGGTCATTCTAGTAACTAACTTATGCCTCATCTAACTTTGTACTTACATTACCAATGCAATGTAAGGTTGCCGCGGTTTCCAAACTGCACCTTTTCCTGGTGCATTCTGTATGCTGTCTTTCTGCTTTGCATGCTTCAAGTTGTCAGTACACCAGATCAAACCTTTAGCAAATCCTACCTAACAATTTTCCTGATGTCTTTCAGCCCATGTAAATCCAACAGCTGAGAGACATCTTTAATGAAGGTAACTAAGGATCTTTCTAGAGGTTTCCATCTGCTCAGTGAGGATTCCAAAGATTTCTCTGAGGAGCCTCAGACGAGATCTGGAACAAGATTTTGGTCCAGGAAACAGTAATGCAGCTAAAAACCAGGCACTTTTGTGTGCGTGAAGTCAAACGTTATACAAATAACCACAAGGTTTTATGTGGTATACCCCATCTAATCCGTGTTATCTCCAACTTCAGTGGAGATACGGGTGTGCAATACTGGGAAATAAAGGAGTACTTTTCTCTCTCGCACATAACGGGCAGACGAAGAAGAAAAACTTCTTGCACTGATTATTTTCAGGTGGCGACTGCTTTAAGACTTCATCGGCTGGGATCGATACCATCGCCATCTCGCCACTCCGCGAAGTTAAACGCCGCGGAACACGGGCCCCCGTTACCGCCGAATACCGGCGAGCACCGTTCCTGCTCCGCGTCCTCCGAGCCGCCGCTTCCCGCTACCTCAGCACCGC